TGGCGTTAAGAGAAAAATTTTGCCTGTTTAAAAAAATCCCTGTTAAGGATATCTGTGTTAAGTATGCTTATCTTATATATCCTTTGCAGTAAAAACAAGAACAAATTTTTGGATTGCTTTTAAAAATGTCATGATGAAGTGTAACATCTCTGTCCAATCTGAGGAAAGATTCTGATCACATAAGCTTCTGTTTCTCTTTCCGCTTAATTCTTATCTCAGAGTGGATGGAGCACATCTGACTTCACTTCACACGCATATCATGAATGTCCATCTGTCCTTCAGGTTAATGTGAGCGATGGAGAGGAAATGACAGACTCGGAGCTGGGAAAGGGCCAGGCAGGTCATCTGTCTTGTCTCTTCCTGGGACTCACTGTCCCTGATAAAAGCCTCCCTTCTCTTAAGCAAGCTGGAGCAGCCATGGAAACAGGAACTGGCACCAGAGGAATAACACACTCCCTTTAATGGTACAAAACCAGGGCTAGAAGCTTGTTTTGGCACAACCGTGTGTCAAAACAAGGAGAGGCGTCCCATCCCTCATTCTGCTGTGCTGCTCTTGAGCAGCACACAGTGCTTCTCAGTTGACAGTGAGTTGAGGTACATCTCCCAGAACACATTCCCAAGTTATTGAACCTGCATTGAACAGTTCCTTAAAATTCAGAGTTGGTTGAGACTTCAGCAGTCATTCAGTATTCCTACAGTCACCTATTCATGGGTAAACTGAGTCTTAGAATGGTGAGCCGATTTACCCTGGATCACAGTATGCTGTTAAGCAGGGACTGGTAATTATATTAGGTACCATTTATGCAGCATTCATTATGTGCTTAGTCCTCTAAGATCTTTACATTTGACCATCCCTATTTAGCAGTAGGGGAAATGAGTCTTAAAGAGGTTAAATAACTGGTTTGTGGTAGACCTGAGATTGGAGCCTAGGTTCTCAGTCCAGAGCCTGAACTCTCAACCACATACCTGTATGCGCAGATGGAGACCCAGATGCCAGAGAGGGCAAGTGTCTTATTCTATGGCATACAGCAGATCAACTCTTACTGAGCATTAGGTTATCCATGATGAGAAAGCCATTTGGCCATCAGCCTAAAGACATTTTCCCTCCAAATTTAACCCTGAAGATATGAGGAGTATCACCAACTCTGTTTATTTGAAAATAGCTAAGGGCCAAAACAGACTATTGTTAAAAGCCTACATTTTTGGTAGACTTTCTGAAGGCTTCAGAATAGTGAAGGTATGGATGGATATTTGCCTCTGTGGTTGATTGCTGGAAGAAGGAAAGAGAACAGGATTGTCCCAAAGCTGTGAAACCATGGAGGGCCAGCTCTGAGACTCAGAACCCCTGCACTATTCTTGTTATCAGGCCCCAAGACCCTTTACAAAGCAGAGAGGTCAGGGCTGACTATGTGCTAGATTCTCTGCCAAACCATTGTGGTGCCTCCCTGGCAAAGCTAACTCAACATCTGACTCCCCCAGTTCTTCCCAGACAGGAGCTTTCTGCTGATCAGCCAGGTCCCCTGTTCTCCGTCCTTCTGTGGGTCTGTATGTTAGTCTGTATTTTCTTACTCTTAAGGCCTATGATGTGACTGTACCAGGACCTTGAGGTCCAGGATTTAGTTCCAGCTCTGTCACTTTATATCATGTGACTTCTCTGGGCCTCTCTTTCCATGGGAACAGTAATCATACCCATGGAGCCGAGGCAAATTCAGCTTAATGAGTAGATGCTTTGCTGTGCTGTCTGCTAGACACCACAGTAGACCAGTGATTTTCAACCTGTGTGTCATAAGAACTTTTAAAACATACAATAGCTGACTATTTAGTCAGGGTCACTGACTTCTTTTTCCTTAGATCGTCAAATAAAAAAATGACAACAGCTCTAGCCAGTGTTTCGAGCGTCTGCCCACAGACTGAAGGGTCCCATGTTCAGTTCGGGTCAAGGGCACATACCTTGGTTGTAGGCTCTATCCCCTGCATGTGGAAGGCAACCAATCGATATGTCTCTCACATTGATGTCTCCACCCCCACCCACCAACTTCCACTTTCTCTAAAAAAACACTAGAAAAAATATCTTTGGGTGAGGATTAATAGAAAAAAGTGAGGAGAGCCAACACAACAATAGCTGTCCAGTGTGAATAGATTAAAATCATACCTATTTTTTTGTCAGAGTGGCAAAAAGTATATTTTTTGGTGTACTGCAGAATTTTAGTTAGTTTATGAATACCGTAAGATGAAAAAGGTTGAAAATCATTGCACTAGACATTCGGCTGTGTTGGAAGTATTCCAGTCTGTGCTGTCCAGGACAGTAGTCACTAGGCACAGGTGGCTGGTAAGTCCTTGAAATGTGGCCAGTGTGAATGAGGAACTGAATTCATTTAAATTTAAATAGTTGGCGACTGCGTATGGGACCCCACAGCTGCAGAGTACATATGAGACAGGAGATGTGAATCCGCCTCTCCCCTGATAAATCTCAGTTCCTATGGGCCTCTCCTCTTACTGCAGGGAATGGTATTCCAGTTTAAAAGTAAGTGTTTCTCACAAAACCTGGCCAGTAAATAAAACCCAGGACTTACATCTGATGCTCAGCCAAAGAGGCAGCGATGGATTGATTGACTTAGACAGTCCATCTGAAGGGTAAAATTGGCTGCATTGACTGAGATGGTCTGACAATCTCACCTGTGTGACACCTCTCTTAGGGCAATTTGACTACATTGTTGCTTTATGAAGTTAGAACTAACCCCCCCATGGCAAAGGTACCTCTCAGTGCTCAGGGAGATAATAGATGTGCCCTCGATCGCTGTTAGTTGGAGGCCAGCAACGGGGAAGACAATCCATGAAAATACATTTGATTACTAACGAGTTAAAGATATATTTTTCATAAGCAGCAAAATATAAGCTAATGATAATATTAACTGTATTGCATGCCTGTTGTACAACAGGCCTTTTGTTAGGTGCGTGTGTAATCAACCTCCTTGGTCATCATGACATCTTTGTGACTTAGGAGCTATTAGTATTTTCATTTTTCCCACAAGAAAACTGGAGAATAGAAAGGAGCCATAACTTCCCCAATGTCACTCAGTAGAGCCAGGGTTCACACACAAGAGCCTAATTCCAGAGCCCATAATCCTCTGCAGCGGTTCTCAACCTGTGGGTCGTGACCCCTTTGGCGGTCAAACGACCCTTTCACAGAGGTCGCCTAAGACCATCCTGCATATCAGATATTTACATTACGATTCATAACAGTAGCAAGATTACAGTTATGAAGTAGCAACGAAAATAATTTTATGGTTGGGTCACAACATGAGGAATTGTATTTAAAGGGCCAGAAGGTTGAGAACCACTGCATAACCTTGTGAAACATTGGCCTTCCCCTCCAATGGAAAGCTGAGTTAGACGGGAATAGTGGGGTCCCTGGGCACTGGGTCAGGGTGGTCAGTGAAGCCTCCTCCCCTTGGTTTTAAACAGCACTGTCTGACCAGCTTAGCAGTGGTCCAGTCATTGGTATGGTAGTGAACCTGATGGCATTTCCTAATGCAGCCCCCATTCATCCTCGTCAGTTCCACCTTCCTCACATACACGTGGGCCTAAGTTTCAGGTGTGGGAGCCCATTACTAGCTTGTGCTGGCGCAGAGACGTGGTCATTGTGTATGCAGTCAGCCTGCACGCAGAACTACAGTGGAACCTCGGTTCTCAAGCTTAATTCGTTGTGGAAGGCTGTTTGAAAAGTTATTTGTTTGAAAACGGAATTATTTTTTCCCCATTAGAAATAATATAAATTAAATTAATCTGTTCCAGACTCACAAATGATTTCCTGTTTTAACCTTTCTTATATACAGTATATGTCTAATAAACACTTCTTTTCTTAAATGTATCAAACAACCCCCTTCTAGCCTTAAACAAATCTCTTTCAGCACTCATTTCAGGGGTGTCTTTCAGGAGGTCAGTATGCAACATCTTTGCTTTTTCACGTATCATTCCCTCCAAAATGCTATCACCAGCTAACTGCTTTACTTCTATTCAAATCAACAATTTTTCTACCTCTTTAGTTGCCTGTGATTGTTGTTTTGTGAGCACTTTCACACCCTTAGCAACATGCTTTTAGCAACCCCACCAGTGCCTTTGCATAGCCATCTGGGTGCATCCCCTGCACCTACCATCCCTGTGTGCCTGAGAGACGCTTTATGTCATGTTTAGGTATCAGCGTGAAAGGGCAGAGAGGGAGAGGAGGAGGGGGGAGGAGGTGGGGTAGAGAGAGAGAGAGAGAGAGAGAGAGATATCAATGTGAGAGAGACTTCGATTGGCTGCCTTCCCCATTACCCCAACTGGAGCCCTTGACTGGAATTAAACCCATGATCCTTCTGTTATGGGCCAACACTCTGACCACTGACCAAAACTGGCCAGGGCTGGAGACACTTTTTTCATGAACAATTTGGTCAAGAACCAAATAGTTTGATATCGGAGATGTTTGAGAACTGAGGCTTGACTGTACTTCTACTTTCCATGTATGGACATGCTCTGTGAAATGGGGTTTATCATAGTATCATTCCAGAAGAAGGAGGGTTTTTCCCTATTTTGTTTCTTGTCAGTCAAGTAGAGATGTTTGTGTTGAGGTATCCTCAGTGGTAAGCGAGGGAGCAGTCGCTCAGATATGGTCCACTTCCCTTTTGCTCTACACTGCCTCTCCCTTGGTAGGACCAGATTGCCCTGGAATATCATTTGATGGAAGTGATGCACGGTGATAGGAAAGCTGAAAGCCGGGTGACTAGAGCCAGGAGATATGGGTTCCAGTCCCAGTTTTGCTGATCTTGCATTGAGACCCAGGTTACTCCACCTCTCTGGGCATTTATTTCTCATCTGTGGATTAAGAGATTGGGCTGGATAATGTTTAAGTTTCTCTAAGTTCTCCATTTTATGAGAAGGACACTGGCTAAAAATAGCAGAATAGTGAGGTCTTTTCCAGCTCTGGGCAGTCTTGAATATCCCTGTCCTCTCTCCCACAGGCATCTTGGCCATCCTCATCCCCCGCCTGGACCTGGTCATCTCCCTAGTGGGCTCCGTGAGCAGCAGTGCCCTGGCCCTCATCATCCCACCCCTCCTGGAGATCACCACCTACTACTCAGAGGGCCTGAGCCCCCTCGCCATCGCCAAGGACGCCCTGATCAGCATCCTGGGCTTCGTGGGCTTTGTGGTGGGGACGTATGAGGCTCTCTATGAGCTGATCCAGCCAAGCCCTGCTCCCAGTTTTTTCAACTCCACCAGTGCCTTTGCATAGCCTTCTGGGTGCATTTCCTGCACCTGCCCACCCCACCTCTGTGTGTTCCCTAGCACCTGGCTCTAGGGCCTCAGGGAGGGTCCAGGCTCTGGGGAAAATCAAGGTTGCTGTTCAGAAACCCTGCTACCTGGCACCTAGGTGCTCTGGGCCAGACCTGAGGGCAAGGTGGAGAGTGGGTAGCAGATATGCAGTAGGTACCTTTAGTGGCAGTGCCATCATTGTTCATTTGTACTTACTTTAACCCAGAACTTTACAACTGTTTTTCCTCATCATGCCTCCTCCCTTACTTGCACTCTCCTCTGACCCACCTCCCCCAAATTATTCTTGTTGCACAGCTCACTTTATTTAAAAATTTTAGTGTCTCCTTTCCTGGTCCAGGCCTAGATGAAGTAAGTAAGAACTCCCCTCTTTAAAAAGCTGGGCCTATCTCTTTCTCATCTCTCTCCCCAATATTTTACCTCAATATTCACCTACCTATTCAAGTCTCCATCAGGTGTCTGGATGTCCCTAGTAGTTTAAAACCAGCCCCCAAAGCTGGAGTTTTTAATTTTTACTCTCTCTGGCTTGCTATGAGTGGCAACACCTCCTCTCTAATTCCTTGTGTGGGTCACAATACTATGTTCTTAGCTGCTTTAGCTCCTGAAAAATATCAAGTGCTGCCTCAATGGAAGATATTTATATTTTATTTAAAATTAGCTTTTTTTTCTTAGACTCTATATCGGGGGTTATTGTGACTCGTTCCTTCCTCAGTACACTGGTACTGAGCTTCT